CTCTTACACTGTTGGTGGGAATGCAAACTAGTACAGCCACTATGGAGAACAGTGTGGAGATTCCTTAAAAAACTGGAAATAGAACTGCCATATGACCCAGCAATCCCGCTGCTGGGCATACACACTGAGGAAACCAGAATTGAAAGAGATACATGTATCCCAGTGTTCATCGCAGCACTGTTTATAATAGCCAGGACATGGAAGCAACCTGTCCATTGGCAGATGAATGGATAAGAAAGCTATAGAATATTACTGAGCTATTAAAAAGAATGCATTTGAATCCTTTCTAATGAGGTGGATGAAACTGGAACCTATTATATAGAGTGAAGTAAGTCAGAAAGAAAAACACCAATACAGTATGTTAATGGATGTATTTGGAATTTAGAAAGATGGTAATGATGACCCTATATGCAAGACAGCAAAGGAGAAACAGATGTAAGAACAGACCTTTGGACTGTGTGGGAAAAGGCGAGGGTGGGATGATCTGAGAGAATAGCACTGAAACATGTTTATTACCACACATGTGAAATAGATCTCCAGTCCAGGTTCAGTGCATGAGACAGGGTGCTCAGGGCTGGTGCACTGGGATGACCCTGAAGGATGGGATGGGGAGGGAGGTGGGAGGGGGGATGGCGAGCACATGTACACCCATGGCTGATTCATGTGAATGTATGGCAGAAACCACTAAAATATTGTAAAGTAGTTAGCGTCCAACTAAAATAAATTTTCAAAAAAGAATCAGGGGAATGTCATATAAAAATTAAACCCTATATATATTTTAATTTTATCATGATTTTTCATTTAAAAAAACATACCTTTTCCTTTTTCCAAATTTGGGATTTTTCTTTTCAGTTTTATTTTTGGAAATTTGCACCTGTAAAATAACCGTTAGCAAAAAGATGTGTTAGTTCACGTGGGATATGATGAGCTCAGCATAATAATGGATCCTATACAGTCTGAGTAATTTAGCCCAGTAGAGAAACTCTGGCTTCCAGCTCTAAACACACCTATAATTCCAAGTCAACAATTGCTGCAATTGCACTGACCTGCTCAACTTCCAGGAACAGTCGACTGATCCTATACAGATGCCTACCCTCATATAGACTCTCCCTTCCTCACTTCACGAACATAGAAAAACACTAAATAAGGCAGCTTTTAAATTTTAATACACTTATGATCTTTAAAGAAAGAAAGAAATATTCAGATGCCAGAAATATGTGGAATGTAAATCTGTATGTTGGGAATTGACATGTGGAAGGCCTCCAGGGAATCTGTACCAGGAAAGGGTCAAAGGGGCTTGGGATGGGGTTTTAATGTCTCAGCAAGGACAAGGAGGAGGAAGTGGAAAAATGGGAACCCTCATACACTGCTGGTGGGAATGTGGAATGGGGGAGCCATTGTGGAATACAGTGTGATAATTCCTCAATATGCTAAGTGTAGAGTTACCCTATGATCTAGCGATTCCACTCCTAGGTATATGCCCAACATAAATGAATGATATACTCATGTAAAAGATTGTGTCTGGTCATAACTATGAAACTATAAATGTGAATAACAGCATTATTCATGATAGTCCAAAAGTAGAAAGAATCTAAATGTCCATTAATGGATAGCTAATAACGTGGTATAACCATATGTGTACTCAGTCACTTCAGTCGTGTCTGACTCTTTGTGACCCCAAGGACCATAGCCTTCCAGGCTGTTCTGGCCATAAGATCATCCTGGCAAGAATAGGAGTGGGCTGCCCTGCCCTCCTCCAGCGGATCTTCCTGACACAGAGACTGAACCTTCATCTCCTGCATCTCCTGAATTGCAGGCAGATTCTTTACCACTGAGCCACTGGGGAAGCCTGGTTACCCATATAATGACATATGATCTAGCTTTTATAAATAATGAAGTACTGGCACACACTACAGTATGGATGAATCCTGAGATCATTATGCAAAGTAAAAAGTTAAAAAAGTCAGACACAAAAGGCCACATGTTGAATGATTTCACTTATTTGAAATGCCCAGAAAAGGCAAATCTACAGACACAGAAGTACAATAGTGAAGCCAAGGACTGGGGGATGTGGAAATGAGTAGTGATTCCTAACAAATATCAGGTTTTCTTTTGGTAGTAAGAAAAAATGTTCTGAAATCAGATAGCAGTATTGCTTGTACAACTGTTAATATATTAAAAACCACTGAGTTTTACGGTTTAAAATTAAGTTACACCTTCCTGGCAAGAATGAAGGTAAAAAAATTTTTTTAATGCAGTGACTTGGAAAAATTGAAAGTAAGGAGACAGAATATATTAATGATTAATAACAAAAGGAACCTGGTGTAGCATACTACTGTTAGAAAAAAGCAGACGTTAAGGCAAAAAGCATAATCAAAGATAAAAAAGGTTATTCCTTAATGCTAAAAGAAACAATCTACCATCAAAATATAACAGTCCTTAACCTGTATATACCAAACTCTTAGTCTTAAAATATACACAGAGAAACAGAATTACAAGTAGAAACCTGATGAAGAATTTACAGGTAAAATGGGATAATTTAAATTTATTTCTCATTAAAAAGTTATATCTTAATAATCTCTCAAAGGAGATTTGTATGAAACATTCAGGAAGTTCATATTATTATGATACTAAACATCAAGTGGTCTTCTTTTTGTGATCTTAACCTCAAGGTCCCTGGTGGCTCAGACAGTAAAGAATCTGCCCGCAATGCAGAGGACCTGGATTCGATTCCTGGGTTGGAAAGATCCCCTGGAGAAGGGAATGGCTACCCACTCCAGTATTCTGGCTTAGAGAATTCCATGGACTGTATATAGCCCACAGGGTTGCAAAGAGTTCAATACCACTGGGCGACTTTCACACACAATATTCATATAGCTTTTCCAAGACTGCTTTACATATTTATATGGTAAAAAGAAAAAAGCATACAGAAATACTGTTGTTTAAATCAGTGATCTACATCCACAAAGACATTGTAACACTTTATTTCTATTTTGCTATTCAGGATCAGCTTACATTACATGCATATTTGAATATGAGGCAAAAGGGTGGCCACAAGTGGAAATGAAACTCAGGTAACAAGATTGCTGTTCAGCCGCAAAATCATGTCAGGCTCTTTGTAACCTCATGAACTGTAGCACATCAGGCCCCTCTGTCCTCCACTATCTCCCAGAGTTTGCTCAGACTCATGTCCATTGAGTCAGTGATGCCATCCAACCATCTCATCCTCTGCTGTCCCCTTCTCCTCCTGACTTCAATCTTTCCCAGCATCAGAGTCTTTTCCAATGAACTGGTTCTGTGCATCAAGTGGCCAAAGCATTGGAGCTTCAGCTTTAGCATCAGTCCTTCCAATGATATTCAGTGTTAATTTCCTTTAGGATACACTAGTTTGATCTCCTTGCTTTCAAAGGGACTTTCAAGAGTCTTCTCCAGCACCACAATGCAAAAGTATCCGTTTTTCGGTGCTCAACCTTCTTTATGATCCAACTGTCACATCCATACATGACTACTGGAAAAACCATAGGTAACAAAGTGCAAACTGTTTTATAGGTATTAGTAGAGAGAAATACTGTTAGACAACTTCCATAAATGAGGGTGAGTTGTGTTGGTGATAATAAATTCCTCTCTACTTTGTTTAACACTCGTCAGATACTCTGTGCCTCTTTGGTTTTTCCAGTAGTCATGTACAAATGTGAGATTTGGACCATAAAGAAAGCTGAGCACCGAAGAATTGATGCTTTTGAACTGTGGTGTTGGAGAAGAATCTTGAGAGTCCCTTGGACTGCAAGGAGATCCAACCAGTTCATCCTAAAGGAAATCAACCCTAAGCATTCACTGGAAGACTGATGCTGAAGCTGAAACTCCAATACTTTGGCCACCTGATGCGAAGAACTGACTCATTTGGAAAGACCTGATGCTGAAAAGATTGAAGGCAGGAGGAGAAGGGGGCAACAGAGGGGGAGATGGTTGGATGGCATCACTGACTCGATGGACATGAGTTTGAGTAAACTCCAGGAGTTGGTGATGGACAGGGGTCCCAGCATGTTGCAGTCCATGGGGTCGCAAAGAGTCGGACACGACTGAGCAACTGAACTGAACTGAACCGAACTGTGCCTCTTCCTCTAGCCTTTGTTGACGTACAGTGGATGGGGATAAGCACTGAATCTGGAAGGATTCATCTAGACTCTGGCACCTACCAGCAAGGTCACCTTCAGTGAGTCATTGACCTCTCTAACATCCAGCAAGAGCCTGGCATAAAGGAGACTTTTATTTCCTTTGTTTTTAATAAATAAAAATATTTATTAAATATTTTCTAACTAAATGAGCCTTTTGCATTTCAGGGTCTTCTTTTGTTAAACAATGCTTAAAAAAAAACTACCTCAAGGCATATGAGGGAAGATTAAATTAAATAACATGTCAGAAAGTATCCAACAGTGCTTAGAAATTAGGTGATGTGCAGTCACTATTTCACTGTTATACTAGTCCACCTGGTCAGGGTCAGGGTCAGGGTCAGGCTTCTCCTTTTTCCTTGAACCATACGACAGAGGGTACTTGGCACTTTGATATGGCTGGACTTTGGTCATAGATCAGTTTTCCAAATCTGCCATAACAAGTTACCACAAATGTGGTAAAGCACCAAAAGTTTATTTTCTTACAGTTCTGAAGGATAGGTGTGTGTCTCTTATAAGAACACTTGTCATTGGATGAGGGCCCACATTATCCAGGATGAGTTCATCTCAAAATCCTTACCCAAAGGATGTGCAGAGATCCTTATTCCAAATAAGGTCATATTCTGGTGGACATATCTTTTGGAGGCTACCATCCAACACACTACAAGTAGATATGAAAGATCTACTTTATCTACTCCATGTCTTCTCCTTCTCTTCCTGTGTTTCAGAGCTGACTGACCTATGCTGTCCAGTCCAATGCTATTCAGAACTACAGCCATGACATGACAGAATCAGTAACACCTGAGAGCTTGTTAGAAATGCAAATATACCCACCCCAAACCAGATAGTCTGGGGGTGGAGCCCAGAATCTGTATTTAAACAAGCTCTTCAGGTGACTCAAGTTTTCCAGGCACTGATCTAGCCCGCACCATCCAAACAAATATATTGCTAGGTAAGTATTGTTGATTTTAACAAAAACAAAGCAAGTATTAACTCTTTTCTTGTTGGATGTAAAATAAAGAAGTGTATCTATACAGAACATGTGCCATTTACTGAAAAGAAAAATATATATATAATGATAATTAGGATTGCAAACTAGAATGGCAAATGATAGAATTGCCTTTAATTGCAAAGGAATGAAAATCTATAAGAATTGTATTTATATCAGATTCATATAATCTGCAAAACTGACTTGACATTGCCCATTTCCTCATCTAAATTAAATATCTTTTTTTTTTTTTCTTGCCACTTGGCATGTGGGATCTTAGTTCCATGATCAGCAACTGGACAAGCAGTGGGAGCATGAAGTGGTAGCCACTGGCCTGCCAGGGAAGTTCCTAAATTAAAAATCTCTTTAAGTGAGAGGAACGAGTTTGTTAGCTATATTAAATCTGAGGGCGTAAAATTCTGATCAGCATTTTATGCTCATTGAATACATAAATATGTTTTGTAATCTTCTGAGAATAATTGTCAGTCAATAATCACTAAAGAGCTGCCTATTTTGACAGAAGAATGAATCTGTACCTTGAATAATGTACATAAACTCCTGTCAAAAGTCATTATATAGAAGGAAAAGCCAATATTCTCATTCCCCTTTGGTAAATCTTCTGGGAAATATATGCTTGGAATAGGATGAAAACTGGTTTCATGAAACATTGTAAATGATGGTTATTACTTAATCTGAGTATCTTGGGAGAACAAATAA